CATCACCAGTGCGAACAACAGTAACAACAGCTTCTGGACCTCTAGCTACAAACACAACAGTGGCAACAATATCTACATCTGCATTGTCAGCAAGCAATGAAGAAAACAAGGATGTAGATAAAGAAATAACATCAAAAACAAATCAACTAAGACAACGAGTAATACTAAAAAGACACCAATGTTACTCTAATTACAGCAGACACTGATAACGATGCCAATTTCTGCCACTACAGCACCAAGGACCATCCATTGCATCAGTGAAAAAAAAAAGATTAATGAAATGTTAAGCTAATGAGGATCAAACCAGAAAGACGAGAGGAAAACAAGAAAAAGGTAGATGTTTAAAAAAAAACGTGCGGATATAAACAACTACATCTTTGAACAAATTGAACTATGGGGTATGACACATCTGCCAAGTACGGATCAACCGGCTAAAGTTACGGAAATCTCCTTGCCCCGACCCGCCACGCCACACCACGCCCCGCCCCGCCACGCCACGCCACGCCACGCCCAATGTTAAACAAGGAAAACCTAGTTTAAGCAGATATATTATTAATTAAACAGTAAATCCAACTAGTAAGAAGAATATCACCCAGTATCCCTCTTAATAGTACACAAGCCTCCAGATATCATTCTAGGCTAATAAACATATAAAACAACAATACCGACAACTGTTCAACAAAATCCTTAGGAACTGCTTTAATATATCTCTAATCAAACCGTGTCAGACCGTATAATGGCGACGGGTGAAGCAGAATTGGGTAAAGTAGGAAAAGCCGGTGTCGTCGGGATGATGTTTGTCATACGACTGACCCTATTTCTCCTGCGAAATCGACAACTGCCCCACAATGTCAGACAAGGATAACGTAATGTATACTGAGATAATAAATTATCAATAAAACAACTAATCCAACTATGAAGAGGTATAGCACCCCATATCTCCTTTAATAGTACGCCTGCCCTCAATGTCATTCTAGGCTACATATAACCTAACAATACATACAACTAACAAACAAACTCAAAAGGAATTAAAACGTTTAATTTTAATTTCATATTTGTTCTAAAAATCAGCTTTTTCATCTACCTCTAACCAAACCTTGTCATATCTTATAATGGGGGCGAGTGAAACGGAATCGCGTCAAACAGGAAAAGCTGATGTCGTCGGGATGATGCTTTTAATAAGGCGGACCCAATTTCTCCTGTAAAAGCGATAACTGCACCCTATGTCCGACAAGGCTAACGTAGTGCAGAAATGATACATAAATAAATCATAAAGAAAATATAATATAATGAAAACTATAAATAAATAAATATATAATAAATAAATAAAATAAAATTATTTAAATAAATAAATAAATTGAACAATACAATAGTTAATCTAAACTAGTATGATGAACACCAAGAAATAAATTTGTTAGCAATAATAAGTTAAATAACAGGATCCAAATATATTAAATCCTTGTTACCACACACACACTGACATGCAGCACTCCCTTATCCAGAACACCATCCTTGTCTTCTCTCCTCCCCCTCTTTTTCCTCAACTAATTCTGTCTACTAACATATATGAGACTAACTTTCTAACAAGCTCCATCAATCAACTATCTTTTCCAAAAGGTGGTAACAATATCAAATAGCAAAGACTACTATGAGACGATAAAAAAGCCAACACTTAACATTATAAGGTGGTACAAACACACAAGACCATCAGAGCCCGCCTCCCAAGGCGGCTACATAAACGTACATTCGGAGAACATTAGAATCCCAAATTGTCATCTATATGGTGGTCAAATACCAAATGACCATCAGGCCCCGCCTCAAAATGCGGCAAAATAAACACTTTACTTACGTAATAGGCCCTAAAACTGAACAAAATATGAACAACTTCCAAGACCAAAAGACCCCATGACCACTACCAGTACCACAGCCACTACCAGCACAGAGACCCGTGCTCCCTCAAATAGAGAACTGGAACGCAACATTTGAGAGGTAGAGGGAAGAGTGGGAGCCGAGCTCAGCATCCTCGGGAGGTAAGGAGGCCACGGCATCAACGTGTGTTGAATAGAAGAAGGAGTGAAATCTTAACTATCCCTTAGAGTGAGAATTGGGTGATGAGGCCACTCAACCCCACGCTTCGCTCCCAACAACAGCAGTCAATTGGGAATAGGATAGGAGTCGACGCGGCATGTGTGGTGCCAGGCCTGGAATGTGCTGGCATTAACCAAGTGCATCTGAAGTTACAAAAAGCCCTTCTCGGGGATACCCAGATCTCTGGAAAAGAGAGAATGATCAAGATTCCAAAATTTATGTCTTTGTGTTTGCCTGTAGGTAAAAGCAGAAGTGTGCCTATAAACACTTCGTTTCCATTGCTTGTAAGATAGTGTTGTGTGTGTGTGTGTTTGTGTGTGTGCGTGTGTGTCTTTATGTGTGGTGCCAGGCCTGGAATGTGCTGGCATTGACCAAGCGCATCTGAAGTTACAAAATGCCCTTCTCGGGGATACCCAGGTCTCTGGAAAAGAGAGAATGATCAAGATTCCAAAATTTATGTCTTTGTGTTTGCCTGTAGGTAAAAGCAGAAGTGTGCCTATAAACACTTCGTTTCCGTTGCTTGTAAGATAGTGTTGTGTGTGTGTGTTTGTGTATGTGTGTCTTTGCCTTAACAAACTCCTTGTACCTACACTCGTAAGTGTTTCTTTCTTATGAATGTGGAGTAGTGTGACTATAAACACTAACTCCTTTGCTGCTATGATTTTAAGTAATTGTGTTTTGTACATAAAAACGTTTCTTTTCCAAGATGTAATGATAGAAAGTATAATGGTTTCGTTAGTATCAGTGTGTTGTTTTGCATAAAAAAAATTATCTTAGATTAGCACTCTCATCAGTGTGGATTCTTTGGTAGGTGATATGTGTAGTTGGTAAAAAGGGATGTTTTCCTTTATGTCTATGTTTGAGACATAACTTCAAGCGTTCGTCAATGGCAAAATTTAATAACAAAAGTGGCAAGCAATCACGTCAACAAAACGCACAAGATGCGAGAAGTAGCATATGATGTAGGGATGGTGGAGGAAATGTTGGTCAGGTTGGAAGATGGATGGTATAGTCCTCACAAATTGAAAATGGTGATCAATATTTTAAGTAAGGCCAATGAAACACTTAGAAAGTTGATGAAAAGAGAAGGAAGACAAAAGGGAAAAAGGAACAAATGAGAGCGTACAAGCTGGAAACAGAAGAGGAGAATGAGAAAATAAAAAAGAGGAGGACGAGAAGGAGGAAAAAGAAAATGGAAGGAAAAAGAAGACAAAATATGCAACGAAGAAGATAATAAGATGGTGGATAAGAAAAGGGAGGAATGAAGTTAGATAAAAGTTAAAAGGACATTTCCAGGGCCACTTCATTGTTTCGAAAAGGTAACTATTCTATATTGCCTATAAAAATAGTTAATTGTATAGTTGTTTGTGTGATAGATTTATGTTCATCAATTTGTATTTGTGTCCCTAATGATTCTAGACAGACCCCATCCCTTTTCGTTCTACATTCCCTATGAAAAGACAGGCCTAATTCCTTATCGCACTACCTTCTCTGTGTTCAATTTCCCCTTGAGCCTAGATAGGCCCAACCTGCTCCATGTTAAATTCCCATTATTAGGATATAGTTCCGTAACCATATTTTTACAAAGAGGTCTACGTCAGGCGATATATCTTGTGACCAAAGGATGGGACCCTTTTTGAACACAGAACTACGTGCGGCTAAATAACCCCTATTCACTACTAGTGTCTTCAATTCAAATATTCAAATACAGTTCATTAGATTTAGTTTGCAAAGACTTTTGTTAGATAGCTTTATAAAACCACTTACGATGTGGCTTTGAAGTAAACATAATCTTATGGACTATCATAAAAACAGTCGTATGAAACGTCTTAAGAACCTTTAACGTAACTGGGCCAAGGTCTCTTACAGTATGGCTTTATCCTAATAAGTTCTACTGTATTAATTGAAAGAAGAGTGAAAATATGTATTGATTTGTGGAAGTCCCTTTACTGAATACGGAGAGAGAGAGAGAGAGAGAGAGAGAGAGAGAGAGAGAGAGAGAGAGAGAGAGAGAGAACAGCGCTGTCAATATTTATGAATGCTTCTTTAGTACAGAATCATGTCTTCGTTGTCCGTACGTACATATATGAGCGTCCAAGTGTGAATTCTTTTGTGAAACATTTCTAGTAACATGGACGCGTCCGCATGGGTTTAATCTTGAATAATCTTGAGGATCAAACTTGATAGACTTCCTGGCAGACGATTCTAAAGTGCCCTCTTTACCTAACTCACCCATAAAATTTTCTTTTCCTTACGATAATCATACATCAAGTAATCAATGCTAATACGATGATACATTGGCGCCGACTCGTTGTATAGACAGGATGAGTTGGCTAATTTGTTTTATGAACTTAATCAAATGACCTGCTGTTGTCTTGTAAACTGTAAATGCTCTCCAACTGACTTAAACCCCCCCTCTCTCTCTCTCTCTCTCTCTCTCTCTCTCTCTCTCTCTCTCTCTCTCTCTCTCTCTCTCTCTCTCTCTCTCTCTCTCTGCAATGAAGATAAGCTCAATCGTACACATACATGTACAGAAGTACGAAACATGCACACATGTATATGTAAATAGAACTGTATGGCAATTTGGATTCTTAGGGGTATCGTCTTTCACAGAATTTCGTTTCTCTTAAGCGATTTTATTAATGCTCTCTTCAACGATAATTGACTTTTTCTTGACTAGTAAGTACTCAATCCCAACAGTAAGTAGATGTGTACGATAGAATCTGTCTCACGAGAGACTGATTAAGGCGGAAGCGCATTCTCTTAAAAAAAAGTTGCAATCTTGTATAGAAATATATTTCCTACAGACACGTTATTATGCAACCCTGTCTAAATTTAGAAGTTAAAGAATAACTTTTTAATTCTGAGCGCTTAGCGAGGCAGCTCTTAGTACCATTGAATACGTTTTGGTATGACTCGGCACGGGATCGAACCCACGACCTTCTGCATCCAAGGCCGACGCTCTAACCACCAGGCCAACGGAACGGTCCAGTTTTAATTATACTGAGGACCTTGGAAGTTTATATCAAAGAGGTCCAGTTTCATCGAATATTTTCAATTATTGTCAATGATAAAATTGGTTACTTCAATACAATTGAAAATTATAAAATAAATTTAACCACAAAGCGACCCGAATCTGAAACGCCATTTGTAAATTTCAGTGAAACCTTAAAGGCATTTCATATAACATGCAACAGTCATTTTTCTAATATCAAAGATATAATGAACAAATCGAATGGAAACCTGTTTATTTCTTGACTTTCATTATTTGTAGCTGAGTGTAGTCTGCTGAATCGTTTCAATCAACTCGTCAACAGTTTTTCTGTTGCTATCAAGACAATTGCGCTGGAATTCAAAGCGAGGTGCCTTGTATTTTTCATTTGGACTCAGTGACCCAAGCTGTAAAAAGTGCTATACACAACTACATTTAGAAACTACACAAAACCTAACTTCAGCTCACTACACAACACGAAACTCCGCACAAACGCGCCGCATTGCACTGCACTGCGATGCGCTATACTACAATTCATTGGGCTCAAGTTCTGTTTAAGAAAGGTGCAGCTTTCTGGGCTACAATCTCAGTGATGGCAAACATGGACTACGATAATCTGTTTTTGGGGTTGCAATACTTAACCTATTTTCGTAAAAATAGTATTACCACTAACACAAATAGAAAGTGTGTTTGTGCCATTAGTGCAGTCGATTACTCCTGCTAGTACCTGAAGATAATTATCTCTGAAATTCGAGCGTGTTCTGCAGGTTTGGCAGTTCTTAACTAAAGGATGTAGAACGACCTGTTAAATATTAAAAGTTTTCAAGAATGTAGGATTGTTGCCGCCGAATTCCTGTTAGTATCCATCTACAAATGTGGGTACGATGAAACATTTTCCGTGTTACAGAATAATTATATGCACATTGTACTTTATTTTCGGGATATTTATTCAGACTTTAGTTATTTAAGTCTCCTCGGTGCTAAATAAGGAACAAAACATAACATTGAGCAGTATAAATACAAATTAACATATTTTCTAAGCGTTAATTAAGGAAGTATTAACCATTTGCCTTAAGCTGGTAACACTGTAGCCTTGAGTTTAACAGCGATTTCTAAAGTGACTTTTCAAAAGTAAATACATGTATACTATAAACTGGAAGGAAACAAATTCATTCTTTAAATGATATTGTAAAGTTATTTTTAAGTCAAGAATACATCTTACATTAGACTCATCCACCTACACTTGCCATCATTTCATGCTTAGATAACAAACTTGTATAATTTATTGGTTATCGGACAAGTTGAAGATCAATTACGCGCTTGTTAGCCTACACTTGAGTACACGCCTTCCTGTTTCATACAGCCCATGTCTGTAAACCTCAGAAAGACACGTGGGTCCAGACATACACGTTTATCACATTAATTTAGCATGAGCCCAATCATCCGCAATGGTTCCTGGATCTTGTTTCAATTAATCTTATCTCCACTGAGCACGAACGCACAGGTCCTGCATGTACCTCGAAGCTGTGCTCAAGTGGAGGCATGACTGTAGAATTCCCACGCTTTGCAAGTAATTTGAGATCAAAAACATTTCTATAAACCTGTTTCGTTTTCCTGATCATATTTTGTAGATACGACAATTAGGCACAGAAAAGATTATTGTGCCAAAGATTCTGCCTAATCAACAAATTTGATTTATTTTAATAATACATGTACATTTTGGCTAGTTGAGTATAGGTTAGTTTTTTCTTGTCGCTTTTTATGTACTTATTTATCTTTTTTAAATCTCTGTTCACTAGGACCCTACCATCCACAATTTTGTTTTAAATCCTAGGACATCGAGACCCAACATTTGAACCAATTGTTGAAAAGAAATATTCTAGCCCACACATATTATTCCTAATATAAACTCAATACTTTTGAAATGCATAATATACATTTTGAAGAATGTATATCTGGTTTTCAAACTACTTTGTCTAGAAAAACTACACTCACCTGATATGTGATTACATGAGAATGTACTGAAGTTGCAGGGCCACAGTTAATACCTCCATTAAAATATACTGCATACAATCATGTGGAAACATTAAAGTAAAAATGTCCAACATTGATACAGACGTTAACATTGCATATAATCAAATAGCAATCGGATTTCGTTGATGTAAAGTCCTATGACGACGACAATATAGTAGATATCAAATATAGATGCATTTCACACACACACACACACACACACACACACACACACACACACACACACACACACAATACATACATACATGTGGAAACAACACTGTTGTACAATTCGAATAACGTTAATGACACGTCACTTGGTAGACCTACTTTACTGGCAAAACGGCTTATAATATTGGCTTGCGTAAATCAGGCCGGGTATCTTCAAATCCCAGATAAAAATAATAAGATGTAAATTAACTTGTTTGATTCGTTTAAGACTCATACTATTGTAAAGGCCAGATAGTTTGCATTTAAAGCCAAAAATCCATATTTTCTAAAAATGTAACTTTTAAACTTTCAAGAAAGAAACCAGAATATTAAATCTATGTACCTCAGCTTTGATTAAACTAAAACCTTAAAATTAAAAAAAAGATATATTTTACAACGAGAATTATCCCCTATAAAAGAAATAAAATTGAATATTTAAGGTGGAGGACATTTGGAAGAAAAACAAATTTATCAAAGATTCAGTATTAATTCAGTATTCCTGTAATAAGTAGGAGTCATTTGTTAGGAACCTGGGATTTATTTATTTTATTGGATTCTCACGTGTGTGTATGTATGTGTGCATTTATATATATATATATATATATATATATATATATATATATATATATATATATATATATATATATATATATATATATATATATATATATATATATATATATATATATATATATATATATATAGTTATTGTAATAAAATTGGCATAGCATTGTCCCAAGTTGCAGATGATTGACTAAATACGTTTGAACACTGCAATGCGGTCGATCCCAACGTTAATAATTTCATCGACAGCGGAATAGTGATGGTAATGAGGAATGTTATACGCATAAGTGACCGTAATATATATTAGTACGAATGAGTGGAACATTACAGAGGGGGATGTTTAGACAGTCGCATCTTAATTATGTCAGATATAGACAAAAAGCAAACGTATACAGTGTAAATTGAAACGATAAGTTACTGATCGATAATATGTCTAATTCGATATTAGGTTCGAGAGTCTACATATTTTTGTACACACAGATACAAACACACAAACTCTTGTTTTGTGTAATCAATAAAGATATATTTTTAAAAAAATTAGGGCTGCATCTGGTCAAGTGTTTGGTGGACGAGAGGTTTCCAAAATTTCAAAAGGGTCATTACTTTCCTAGAAAGGGCACCAAAGGAACAGTCTTTGTGTTGACTTACTTAAACCGTGCCTGATACCCAATAAATGTGCACTAGAATTAAACGATTGTCAAGTTTCATTTAACCAGTGACTGTACGCGCGTGCGCGCGTGTGTGTGTGTGTCGTTTTTCTTATTCGTGGGATGGGTTCGAAAACCCTATAAAACAATCTCCGGCCCGAAAATTGTGTCCGGCATACACTCAGGTCGTAGACCTTACAAGGATGGTAGACCGCTCATATATGAACACTAAACTATGTATATATATATAAGTCACTTTCAAGCAAAATACAGTTAGGTTAGTGTAGATGAATTATCCAGCCGGCGCTACAGAGAAAAACAAAACAAAGCAATATTTTCCTTCCAATAAATTGATCTTATTCCTTCTTTGGACATCCTTTTCTCTCAGGTATGGAGATGGATACCGTCTGTTTAAAAACATTAGACACTGTCGTTCGTGTATTCAAAATAGATATGTGAACACTTTCAATACCGATGTTAGTCAAACAGCTTAAATTAGGGGCGAGACTTATACAAAATAGTGCTTTCAATTATATTGTACAGAGATCACACTTGATTTGGATAATTGCGCTAGTCACGCATTATCAATTGCAGATCAGCTTCCTTTTCGCTGTTGCGAGTATTGTCATTCAACCGTTTTTTTTTTTGCGCATTCGCATTTGTCACTTATCTTAATACCCATAATTGCATTTATATTGCTTTGCTCTTCTTCTTAAACGGTTTATGTTACGTTTCTTGGCACATGTACTGTACTAGTGAAGTAGGTGAGACACATCATTCACCAGAATTTCACGCTGGTTATTTTTTCGTAGATACCTTCACATTTGATATCCAATAATAACCATCTAAGAGAAGGAAAAATATGTAATTTGGATTAATTTCATAAATCAGAAACACTATCGATGCTGTTCCGTCTAGCAAATTAACGGGCCCCGAGTGGTCGAGTGGTCTAAAGCGCTCTCCGTTACGGATCACTGCCATTTCACCTCTGTCTGCGTGGGTTCGAGTCTAAGATTCGGCGAATGTGGATATGTGAGAAAGCTTGCCAGTAGCTTCTCGTGGGTCGGTGGTTCTTTCCGCGGATTTTTCGTTTTCTTTCTCCACCATTAATACTGGCCGCCATGTATAGCCTATCATGTGATGAACAATGGCTTAAAGCCCCAAGACAAAAAACAACTAGCAAAATAACTCACGTGCTCTTTATTACCATTTTTGTTATACTTTTGCTTTTTTTTCACTTGCTCATATAGTTTCGTTTTTGACCAAGATAAGGTGGAAGCTTTAACAGGGAAGCATCATATCTGAAAAATAAATAAATTATGTGATTTTACTAAAATAAACGGGGGGATGAGGCGAAAGAGATCGAATTCAAATGAGAGAAAATCTCATTACTGTTCCAGCATTTGAATGTAAACTCTTTTAATTCTGTCATATAATATCATGCTACCTACATGCGGAAAGAATGCTTATAAAATACTTTTCTAACCGTGTATACATGTAGGACTCTTAACCGCTCTGTGTAAATTGCAGCATTGCATTAGCGTGCTACAAAGTCTAATGCTA